TAGAGTACCAACAATACATTTTCATATAATATTCACATTTACATTGACAAAACTGGTTTATCTTTTTTAAAAGATGATTTGACTTTGAAGCAAAAATATATCAGTTTTAAAACTTCATCTGTCCAAGTTCAGTAAATTCAATAACTCTTGGCTCAACTCATTAATATTAACATTAAATTCAAAAGAATATTGCATAAATTGAAAAGCAACTCCAAATTATCAATATCAACAAAACATTCTTTAAGTTTGGCTCGTAATTTTTTGCATCCAGTTTATATAATACTGCCAATTACAAATAAAACCTGCATATTGATTCATGTTGGAAAATGTGTAAAGTCGTTAGTATTGATTTGTGTTAGAAAAAGATTCAATTTCAACATAATATTTAACCTGTGTAACTAAGTCACAAATAAGCATGTCCTTTCCTTGGAACTTCAGATTTAGCTTGTTCATATGGGGTATAATATCAGAGGAAATATTAATCACAGTGCCAGATTTTTGTCTCTGATTCCTGAATATTTGGCAAGCATTCCTTTTTTTTTCCCCAAGAAAACCTTGAATTGGAGCTAACAGCACAAATCTTCCACAATTCAACCAACAAGCATTGGCAAAGAGACCAAGATTACAAAGTTCATTGTCTTCTCTTTCTTTTAGCAGCTTCATTAATTTAGTGTTGATTCATAGTATTTGCATGTAAAAATTGAACAATTTCAACAATTGTATCCAGGATACTTTTCCTAGAGACTACTTCAGAAAACTTAGTACAAATGTTTGCAAAATGTATCATGCATTGGAAAGAAGTAATAAGAAAAACATGAACCTCTTGTTTTAAAATTCTAATATATCTGGATTTTTTAAATCTAACATAGCTGAAGCACTATCTATCACGATAAAAACTAAGTTTTTCATATTTAGCAGAAATTACTCTTTTTCAGATGTAGAAGATTCAGAAATACTTATCCAAAGGGATGAATTTTTTAGGCCATGAATTGACAATATTTCTTTGTAAATTCAGAAATCCTTTGAATCTATTTGCCCAATACTACTTACTAAATAGTCCATCTTTACCACCACTGATTTGAAATGCCTGCCATAGCATATAATAAATCCATAGATGAATATGAATTCACTTCTTTACTTTTTATTCTGTACCATTGGCTATTTATATAATAGTCCCATCAAGTTTTAATTATAGAGACTTTATAATATCTTTTACTAGTTGGTAGAGTACTCTCCCATGTTGTTCTTCCTAATCAGAGGTTCACTAAATATTTTTGTTTTTTTCCTCCAATTTCAGAATCAACTTGTCTACTTCTGAAAACACACATTATTTTTATTGGAATCACACTAACCTTATACATTAATTTAATATAAATGATATCAATTGGTTATTCAGTCCAAAAACATAGTATGTCTTTCTATTTGTACAGATTTCTTCTGTGTCATTCAGTGGCACGTTAAAGTTTTCTTTAAATAAGACTTGCACATCTCTGGTTAAGTTTATTCCTAGATATTTTCTCTTTTCTTTTTTCCTAAGGAAGATTTGCCCTGAGCTAACATCTGTGCCAATCTTCCTCTATTTTGTATGTGAGTTACTGCCACAGCATGGCTCACAAGTGGTATAGGTTGAGAAGTGGTTCATGTCTACACGGGATCCGAACATGGGATCCAAACCCGCAAACCCGGGCCGCCAAAGTGGAGAGCGCCAAACTTAACCACTATGCCATGGGGACGGCCCATATTTTCTCTTTTTTAATTGCTACCTCAAATGTAGTCTTTTCTGTAATTACACATTCTAAGAAGTAGTTGTTTTAATTGTTTGGAACAGTTTTTCAGTTGATTCTTTTTAATTTTCTAGATATACAATCATATCATCTGTAAATAGTGACAGTTTCGCCTTTTTTATTATTTTATATGTCTAATTCATGGATGTTGTCTTATTGGATTATTTCAAGTGAAATATTTTTGACTTAGAATGCTTCTCATGGCTGACTCTGCCCTCTTCCATCCACACACATGAACACACACACGTGATTATATATATAATCATATTAAGAAAATAGCCATCTAACGTCCAATTTTAGAAGTTTTTTTGTCAAAATGAGAGTTAAAATTTTCAAAATTTAAAACTTTTAAAATCTGCTGAGATCATATGATCTTTCTTCTTAGATCAGTTAATACATCGAATTATATTAATCGTATCATAATGAAAAACACCTGCATTCATGTAATGAACCCCACTTGTTCTTGACATATTATTAATGTAATGTATTGCTGTATATAGTTTGGTAATATTTAGATATTCATAAATTGTTCTGTAGGGGTCTTGTGACATTTTTGTCAGGTTTTAGTATCAATGTTCTACTCATTTCATAAAATATTTGTATTTCTTTTTTTTCTTATATACACAATTCATTTAAAGCAAGGTTTCTTAACAATGGCATTGTTGGCATGTTGAGCTGGATAATTCCTTATTGTGGGAGGTGTCCTGTACTTTACAGGATGTTTAGCAGAATGTCTTGTCCTCTCTCCACTAGATGCCAGTAGCATCTCCCAGTTATGACACCCCAAAATGTCTCTAAACACTGTGAAAGTTACCCTAGGCAACAAAATCTCCTTGTTTGAGGACCACTAATCTAAAGCTAAAGGAAAGCACTTGCAATTTTTCAAGTTCTATTAATTGATATATTTTTATCAATCGATCTTTTATATTATTGGTAACATCTGGATTCTACAGGCAATTGGTGGCTTAATTGAAGATCTTTCACTTTTTGTAAAACATCCTTCTTAGTCTTTTCCTTATAATTTTCTAAGAAAAGACCCATAACTGAAATAATCTCTTTTACCACCTCTCTATCTAAAAATGGTTTCCTTTTTTATGCAATTATCTGAGCCCTTTCATAACTGGCCATTTGCAAACCATTAAAAAATGGTTTTGGATACTTAATTCTCATTTCAGGTGACTAATTTCATCAATTCTTTGTGGCTGTTGAGAAGAAACTTTCTATCAGATTCCCTATGTATTTGTTGAAAATGTTTCAATATAGTTTGCATTATTTTAAAACTTTTTTTACACAACAGGTTTTTTTCCTCTATTGATGCAAATTGTAACTGCCATTCATCATGAAATTTGCAACAGACTTTCTCTTCCAGTTTCTTGTCTCTTTCCTGTTCCCCTTGAAGTACTAGTTTTTCATCTGCACTAAATTTTCCATCAATATATGCCTTCATTTTAATGTAAAAATTTGTCCATATTTTTCTTAAGCGAGAAAAATAACTTAACTATATTATAACACAATAAGTTATCATTTCAATCTAATTTCCAATTACAATTAACATAGGTATCACTGTAACATGAGCTGTCTACATAAAATATGCAGCTAAACACACTGCAACATTATATCAGTGCATAGAAAAAATAATCCAAACTGTATCAATCTGTTGATACCAACTAAATCAGTAATGTGTTTACGTGTAATACTGGCAATGACATATGCATCCAACATGCATACCACAATATTAATAAGACTTTCTTACACAATGCATTGGGGAAAGTGAAATGTAGCCTGACTGCAATAATAAAGTTGCATTCAACAGAAAATATTTTATACTGGTTCAGTCTTAAAATTTGCATTACTTAAAATTAAAAATGCAATCCTCATTTCACATTTCAAGTGCTCAATATTCACACGTGGCTGGTAGCTACCACATTGGACAAGTCAGCCCTAGCAGGTCTAATCAAAATCTCCAGGGACTCTAATAATGTTGTAAATGTTTAGTTCAGCTTTAGTAATGCATAGGAAATTTTGGAAATTTTCCTTTTTACCACAGGTCTATGTTTTTTTTTTTTTTAATTTTTTTTTTTATTTATTTATTTTTCCCCCAAAGCCCCAGTAGATAGCTGTATGTCATAGCTGCACGTCCCTCCAGTTGCTGTATGTGGGACGCGGCCTCAGCATGGCCGGAGAAGCGGCGCGTGGGTGCGCGCCCGGGATCCGAACCCGGGCCGCCAGTAGCGGAGTGCGCGCACTTAACCGCTAAGCCACGGGGCCGGCCCCACAGGTCTATGTTTTGAGAGAAAAGAAAAAGCACTTCCCCAGCTCAGGCACCTGGCAGGAGTAAAGTCCCCCAAAATGACAATTGGATCTGAAAACAGTGGTTAAGATGAACTAAAACAATGCCTCTTAAATTCGAGGTTCTCCTGGAATAGATACTCCTGTTGGAGAAACAGTTTATTAAAAGTTAACTGCTAACTCTTTAAACGATTACTTGGTATCAAAGTAACCATAAAAAGAACCATAAATGTGAACACTCACATTTAGGAAATCTTACACAATACCTAGTATTAAGATTTTCATTCATTTGACCCTTAAAATGAAAACCCAATATTTAAATAACATTCTCAAAGAAAATACATGGACCTTCAAAAACACACTTGAAAAACAAGACCTAGAAGTTGTATTGCTGCAAGTGAAATCATTTCAGATGACCAAAAAGGAGAAAATAACTTGCATTTGATAATGATACAATTCTCTACTCTGAGATGCAGTGTGGTATAGAGAAAAGAGCTTTGGAGCTAGGCACATCAAGATTCACTTCTCAAAGGAGCTAAGTGACTTTGGGCAAGTCCCTTAGCCTCTCTGGGTTTCAGACTCCCTAACCGCAAAAAAGGCATAATGATACCTACACCTCACAGTGTCACTAGGAAGATTAATTTAGATGACTTGGTTAAAACCTCTAGTTCAATTCCTAGCGTATACTGGACACATATTAGTTGCCTTCATCCTTCCCAGGATCCTTTCGGAGAAAATCCATCTGAATTAATTCTAGCTGCCAGCATGGCTTTTATTCATGCTTTCTGTTCTCAGGGAGATTATTATATAAGCTCCAGACTCCAAGTAATCACTCTTTCTCATTTCACGTTGAATACACAGCTAAATAACTCATCCTGGCATCCTTTAACTTATATGTAAAAATGTTGCACAAACGTCCAGCCATACTTGTCTGATGGGTGGGATTCCACGAAATATCCAGCAAAGGGGCAATAAATTCGGGGTTGTAGGTCCTTCACCAGCCGAGCCTTGTAGTTCAGGAGCTTCTTTCTCTCTGTTTTAATGAACTGGGCTTTCCATTCCTCTGGAATGACAGGGTTTGGATTAGAGTCTCCTCTGTTCAGAAATCACAGAAAAACAAAAATTCAAGTAGCTTGGAACTCTTTTAGGAGATAAAGTTGATAGACGACTAATGCAGAAATAGAGCAAAGCCCTGTGCCGTTAGTGGAAGTTTTCCCCCCAGCTTTATTTTGAAAATTTCAGTTGGTTACTAGGAAAATGTCGCCAAACCAGCCAAAGACACTGAGCCCTCTCCTTGTTTGTGGCAGTTCATCGAGACCCTAGCTGTATACACAAGGCGGCATGCATAGTTGTACGTTGCATGCATGCACATTTGAAGGGCACTGTAATTCTTGTAATTATTAACTCTTTTGGCTTTATTGGAAATGGCTTTATTATTCTGGTGGATTATGAAAGTAAAGCATGTTCATCATACCCTGGCAAATCACAATAGTCAAGAACTTGGGAGTTGGAGTCAATTAAGACTTAGGATCAAAACGCAGCTCTGCCACTTAAATTCTTTAAGTCTGTTTCCTCCTCTGTAAGGTGGAGTCATGATGCCTACCTGACAGGTTGTTCATTTGCTCATTCATTCATTCGCTCAATATTTATTCAGCACCCACTATGTGCCAGACATAGTTCTAGGCACTGGGATTACAGTGGACAACATGATAAAGCAGGAACCTGCTCTCATGCAGCATTTATTCTAGTGAAAGAAGCAAATAATGAACAAGTAAATAAAAGTCATTTGAAAGAGCAATGAGCTAGGAAGAAAGTAAAACAAGGCCGTGCAATAGAGAGTGGCTGGGATGAGGTGGGGTGGGATGGAGGGGCATTATATATGTTATTAGACAGGGCGTGAAGATGTGAAGATGACATTTGAGTCATAGACACAGACATAGAGGGAGAGACGCTGCTGACCACGTGGAGACCAGGGGCAATAGCACTCCAGGCAGTGGAAACAGCAAATACAAAACCCAGGGCAGGGATGTACTTGGTGAATTGGGTCTGAGGAACAAAAAAAGTGTGGGCTGATATATAGCAAACAATGGGGAGACAGGCAGTAAAGGAAGTTGAGGAATTAGGCAGGGCCCAGAGCATGCAGGGTACCATGTCAGGGAGCTATTCTTACTATTATTGCTATGAAAATTTGATCAACACAGAAAAAGTTTAAGTTATCCATAACATAGCATAAACTACTATTAAACTTTTGGTATTTTACAGACCTTTTTAAATGTATGTGCATGCACTCTCACATACATACACACACTCACAGAAGAATAGGATTATGCTAGCTACCCTTTAATAGGTATATTTTGCCTCCTCAGTCACACTGTTAACTCCTTAAGGATGGCACCTTCCCTCTATCTCTCACATGGTTACACGATCCTGGAGGCAATAAATATAGACTCGTAGAAGAATGGAAGGAACTGGACAGAAGCTGTCTTCATACTACAATTAGGCCGTTTTCTGCCACAGTGCTAGAAATTGCTTACCAAACATATTAATTTAATTAGTGGACATATACTGAGCACTTACAATGCTAATATTGAGGAGACCAAAACGAACAAAATATAACACTTACACGCTTTCCCCCATCCCAACCACAGCACCACCCCTAGACCCAGATCAGAAGAGATCCTGCCTTGAACTCCACACTTTTTTTTCTAGCTTTGAGATATAATTGACTTATAATATTGTATAAGTTTAAGGTATACAATGTGACGATTTGATACATGTATATATTGCTGAATGATGACCACAACAAAGTTAGATAACACCTCCATCACCTCACTTAATTACCTCTTTTTTTGTAGTGAGAACATTTAAGATCTACTTTCTGAGCAACTTTCAAGTACATAATATAGTATTGTTAACTATAGCCACCCTAATGTACATTAGATCCCCAGAACTTATCTTATAACCAGAAATTTGTACTCTTTGACCAACATCTCCCCATTTATCCTGGTAACCCCACACTTTAGAGGGTCTTCCTCTGGCTGTGCCCTCCCCCTGTATAAGCACTCTACACGGCCAGGGGATGTGCCCACATCAAGTTGCACACACCCTATTCTGAACTACATTCCAAGAGCAGTTAAGCCTGAATTACCAGTGTCAGACCTTTCTTGTTCTGCTCTATGGTGTACACCATAAATCCAAATGATTCTTTTTCTTGACTATTTCTGAGATTCTCCTTAATCTCCTTAGTGTTTCTTTCATGCTCCATCATCATATTTTGAGCTGGAAACTTTAGTTTGTATATCTGTGGCTTGCAAGTCTGGTTTCCCAATAAGCTTCCTCTGATGAGGGACCATGTCTTAATGATCTTTGTATTTATTCTCACAGCATTTAGCAACGTTTCATGCCTGCTCCATAGTATCACTCTGATATAAAATATTACCAGTAAATTTTCCACCACTGAAAGTCATTGGAAAGCCTGATGCTCCTCCAGCAAAATCACTCATCATTAGAGCAACCTTCGAAGGCAGCCTTCCCCCATTGGGTCTGGTGCAGTCCACTGTATTGAGTATTTTATGACCTGTGAAAAAATAAAGTGGCATGAGTACTGAAGGTGAAATCTTGAACACCATAGTTTGAATTCCCACGCCAACAAAGTCTTCCATGTAAGTCTGTATAATCTGACTCATTTGATTATAGAAGAATTGCTTATGTCCAAGGAAAAAGAGAGAGTAAGACTCCAAAACCTAAAATCTTTAATAGCATATTTTGAATTTTCAAGTGAATAAATTCATCCTGTTTGATTCGGTGGGTTCGGGATGTCCCATGAGGACAATTAGCTTGATTCCACTCCGGGATCATAGATAGACTACTTTCCTCAGCCAGCTATCTCCAGATGTTGAGCCCAAAGGATGCAGGGAAAAGACTGACTGGATCAACACATGTCTCTCAACTTTTCGTAAATTCCATTCAATGACTGTTGGGACAGTAAAGCCTCCTGCTCACATGAAAGGCATAAGTGTATGATTATATTACAAAATAACATTTCACGACGAAAGTAAGATATTTATTCAATAAAAGCAATTTTGAAGAAATTACTATAGGTGAAATATAGAATATCTGTTGCCTTATGCAAAAAACTTTGCATCTGTCACTACATAGACTACCTTACTAGTAATTTGTTCTCTGGAAAGTTTATCTGAATAATAGCCTAGTTTTCAAAGACAAGGATAGAATATACTATATCCCATGGAAAATGAAAAGGAAAGAAGAAGATGAACATAGGATGAAATTTTGGATAGCTATTATTATCCTTCCTACCAAGAGTATTTTTGATTTTTCATTGTTGATGAGGATAAGAAAGTACCTTTGTACTCCACAATAATGCAAGTGTCCATCTCAGGATGAACGCCATCCATCAAGATCATGAATCGAAGATTTTTGTCTACCTGGAATTTAACAATAAAACCAACAACTATGTACGTCAGTTTGGATTTTAACTCAATATTTGAGGAAGTTGTCACTTCTTCTGGAAAGAAATCTCCTTTATTCAGAACTGGATTTATTATCCTGTGCTATAGAGTTATACCATTGGTAAATGGAAAGAAAAAACATCTTTTATTATAGTTCAAAGATTGTATTTACACAAAGATTGTATTACACAGACAAAATAGGCCATTGTTTTTTAAAGCAACTACTATCTAATCTTAAAGCAACTACCTCATCTAAAATTTCCCCTGAAAGCGTAACTGGAAAGTGTGGAAAGAACACAGATGTCTGACCTGCTGCCATATTCCAAATGGCACTACATTGATATTAGTCAACTGGACACCGCTCTGATTCAGATTCCAAAATACAGGTCTTTCCGTGTTTCCCACATAAATGGGAATATCTGGTCTTCTCCCAGCAAGTTTCTTCAGTGTGGGGTAACTAGGATTAGAAGGAATGAAAAGGTTGAAATGTGAAAAATAAGATCATCTAGTATAAGAGACAATTTGCTCCTTACACCAACATGTTGACTAAGAAGCAAGGAACTGAGAAACCAGGCTCTCACCAGAGTCCAAAAGAAGAATTTTTTCTCAAGGCTGACTGTAAAGGTGAGGGGAATTTCCTAGAAGATTGCTCTTTGTTGTTAGATCATATAATATACCATGGTATGTATATCAACCAGGTGTGCAAATTCCATCGCCCACGTTGATGCTGCTTTGAGTAGGGGTAGTTCTAACTAAGGTACAGGGTGGAAAAAGTAATACTGAAGAGGTTTCTGGTAGATGAGGATCTCCATGATCTTAATTTTTTCTCATTCCTCAAGTAGCAGCTCCTAGTAAGAGAAAGGCCTGGACTGCAGGACAAGGAGAACCTGTGGGTTACCCGCCACTGGGGACAGTCTTTCAAACTTCGAAGCTTGATAGCCACACTTCAGTATAGAAGATGAATTTTTTGTCCTTAAGGAGAATCAGTTACCAGCTAGGCAAGACAGTAAATTTTAATGTAGAGAAAAACTACATTCGACATTTGCAGTAATCCTTCCTCAGTACACAATTAACCATCTGAGTATTTTTGAATACCTACACAGACCAAATCAACTTTCATCTATTGAGCATTCCTTATATAGAAGGATTATATACCACTGTGAGGTGTGGCAAAAAGATGAGTAATAAACAAATAAATGGCTAGATATAAATATCTATATCTATTATATTCCAAACATGGTGCCAGGCATTTTCACATGTTATTTTATTTGATTCTCACAAGAAAAAAACCTGAGTTTTTTGTTTTTATAAATGAGGAAACATATTCATAAATATACAGCTAACAAATAGTAAATTGGTATTCAAATTCAGGTTTTCTGATTCTAAACCTAGTGCCTCTTCTGTTAGAAGGCAATTCTCAACGTTAATGAATATACTATCTGGTTTAAGAATCAGACTTGCACACAGAGTAAATGTCAGGTGAAATAAGATATTTAATCCTAAGAAAAGTATAAACAAAATCTGTATATCAGCACTTACTAACTGTACTAATATTCAAGTTTCAGCATTGTATTAAAAGCTGTCCAAATAAGCAGAACCCAAGGGGAAAAAATGAGGTTTTCTTCTCTAAAAACAAAGGTCTCAAAAAGTCAAGGATTCTTTGAATTGAAGGCAATTAAAGAATTGGGTGCAGCACCTAAATTTTCTATTTTAAAGGACTTTGGGAGTTAGGATAAGTTACTTTAAAATGGATGTTTATTGCTTTGTGATTTTTCAATCGCTGACAGTTCTTACCGGCATCTATTAATAACATCATCTGTTATAATACTCACTATATCTACATAATAAAATCATATCTTTTTGACTAAAGATTGTTCTCTAAAATACATTGGCCTTTTCCTTATTTTTGTGAATCCAAGAGATTTTATTCAGTAAATGAGGGTCAGGCAAGAGGAATGGGGACAAATGACCCTGATGTTTATTAGTTGTCTAAGCAAGAGTCAAAAAGTAAGAGTCTATCAAGGAAATAGACTCAAAGGAGTGAAAATTACAAGCTTCGGTAACTTTTCAGTAATAAACTATTGGCAATACATAGCACAACCAATGCGTTGTGATACTATGGTTGAGACCTGGTGTTTTCATGCCTTACGACTTTGCCCACACAAGCCCCTGCAATCAAAACTAAATTAGTTTCCAAGATAGTGGTTGAGAAAAACCGGACTAAATCACATGAAAAGTTCTTACCCTTCCTAAAATTCAGTGTATTCCCATGGAATGTTTATCTTTAGGGCTTTAGGTAATTGCATCCTGTAACAGGCATTATAAAGCAATCACCTCATTTATGTGATATTGTTCTCTCTATATAAGCTACACAAAATTACCACCACACACCACTGTTATTGCGCAATGCCTGAACCCAGGGCTGTCATAACCCTGAAGTTGTACAACTTTAGTTCCAGAAGCTTGTATGGTACAAAGGCATCATGCAGTAGACAAGTAGATTTTTAATCGTAGCACCACAATGCCCCAGTGAGTTGTGGTCAATTTAGAAGTGTGTTGCAAGTAATTTGTTACTAAAGCAGTTAATTACTTAAGTTTTTAAACCATTTCCTTTAAAAAAATAAATGAGAACAAACCTGTCCCTTAGATGCCATATGCTTTGACATAGAGAATCAAGAGGCCAGTCAACCAGCAAACAACATATTTTCCCTAACCACGGAACATTTATATCAAAGTATGTCCCACATATGAACTTTGTCGTGTAAGATCACATGAAAAAAAAAAAGTTGAAACTGCCTCATTTAGAACATTGTGGGCATTGCTGTGTATTTATATCGGCAACACAGCAGTAGTGATACAAACTTCTAAAAAAGGTTGAACAAACATGATCCTGTAACTAAGCCAGGGGATTGGGAATATGACCCTCCCTCTTCTGTTAACAGTTCCTTCACAGACGTGTGTGGTTTTGTAAGTGAAATTTCTTCTGTCTCCTGCCTGTTTGATCGCCTGGGTTAGGGAAGTTTCAGTTCCCACCATCAGTGTGACATTGCTCTGGTTTTAACGAAGTGTTGGATGAGGATGAATCAGGGTTAAAAAGTCAGGACTGCAGCATTGTTGGGGTGCTATAAATCAGGAGATGGTACACCCCAGTGACCTGCTGCTGTAAGCCAAGAATAGTTTTTATCTTTTTAAAATGGTTGAAGAGAAAATCAAAAGGGGTGCCGGCCCCGTGGCTTAGCGGCTAAGTGCGCGCGCTCCACTCCTGGGGGCCCAGGTTCGGATCCCGGGCGCGCACAGACGCACCGCTTCTCTGGCCACGTTGAGGCCGTGTCCCACATACAGCGACTAGAAGGTTGTGCAGCTGTGACATACAACTATCTACTGGGGCTTTGGGGGGAAAAATAAATAAATAAAATCTTTAAAAAAAAAAAAAGAGAAAATCAAAAGGACATGAAACTTATGTGATATTCGTGTGTCATTGTCCATAGATAAGGTTTTGCTGGAATGCGGTCGGGCTCATTCAGGACTGCCTATAGCTGCTTTTATGCTACAACACAGCAGAGTAGTCACAACTCCAGGCATGTGGTTTATAAAGCCTAAAATATTTACTCTCTGGCCTTTTTATACAAAATGTGTGCTGACTCCTGCTATAAATGTTGAACTGAAAAAGGAAGTCAACTTTGATGATCCTTAAACCTAGACTTTACCAAGTGGCCTGCGAGTGGTAAGTGAGAGGGTAGAAGGATTATTAACCCTGTCCTCCCTTCCCCAATAGCTCCTTCCTCACTCCCAATGGTGTCAAGTGTGGAAGCACTTTTAAAATTATGCTATGCAAGTGTAAGCATTTGCCTAAATTAGTCCTCTAAAGATCTACTTTTTATCATTCCAACTGACCCTACCTCAAAGTGAGCAATGATCGCAAAAGAACCCGAAAACAGGTTATGCCTTTACTGCAGGATTTTCTTATGAGTTGAGCACTCAGACTTCGTTACCTCAGATGGTCTGAGTGCATGTGACTGATGTAAATTAGGTCCGCTTGGCACAGCCTCTCCAGCCAGTCAGATGGAGGCTCATGTAGCAACCACCATCCACGGGCAAAAGCAGGACCAGTTAACCAAGGGTCAAACACCATCCTCTTGTCTCCCAGCTTGAGGTCCATGCAGGCGTGAGTGAGGTATGTTATCTGTGGGAAGAGAGTGAGATTCAGATTATTGCATCATTCCTGGCCAGCAACAATGAACTGAAAGGTTTGGTCTGGTTAGCTGACCAAGTCGTGTTGGAGAACTTTGCTTCCAAGCATGTTCAGGCAAATGGGACTCAAGTGAGACTCAGCAGCAGTCTTTAGATAAAACACAATTCCCAGGACAGGTCAGTACTTTATTAGAACAGAAATTCTCATGGTTGGTTTTAGATGTTAAGCCAATTGATTTACCTAGATTTACTCCATTTTAATTAGCTCCTACATACTTATGTACAATTTACACTGCAGAATATCTTTTGTCACCGTCCTTCAAAGCACAATTTACAAGGAAGGGCAGTTAGAGATATTATGGCAGACACTGGAGGATTTAAACACCAGAGTGGCTGTGAATAGGTATATGAATGAATGATTCCTGGTGAGTTTGGGTGGGTTGGCATAGCCTGGCGAAACAGGCTTGCAAGGCTTTCTCTTCTAAATTACCTGCTGACTCACTCAGGATGTCAGGGTCCTCTGAGAATGGCAATAAACAAGGACTCAGAGAGGGGCACAGACTGGAGGACTCCAAATCAACCACTCATTCCCTTTCCATGGTCTGGCTTATCCGCAGGAAAAAAGGAGTGCCCCAAGAAGCAGAGATAAGGAAACAGAAACTCCAGCGTCAAAAGCCAACAAAGAGAGTGAGGAGGGATCAAGGAACCCAATTCCATTTTATTATGCATTTATTCTAAATAGGTTCCCAGTTATTTCCCCAAAAAGTAACTGCCCATTTTTACAAGCTTCCCAAATATTCCAGAAAAATTAATTTTTGATCATTTACCTCTCCCAAACTACCAAAGTGTTGCTCTGGAGGAAACTCTCTTCTAAAGCTAGGAAAATGCACAAGGTTTGTAAAAGATCTTAGGGCAATGTTCAGAAATATACAACTGGCCATTTTATCTGACAGAGAGCTGGTATCAAGGGCACTGTCTAAACTTCCCTCAATAGTTTTGCATGACTCTCCTTTGGAACTTCCTCTAAAGATTTGTTTTTGTTTTTGTTTTTCTGAGGATGATCAGCCCTGAGCTAACATCCATGCCAATCCTTCCTCTTTTTGCTGAGGAAGACTGGCCCCGCGCTAACATCCATGCCCACCTTCCTGCATTTCATGTGGGACGCCGCCACAGCATGGCCTAACAAGTAGTGCGTCGGTGCGCGCCTGGGATCTGAACCCAGGCTGCCAGCAGCGGAGCGCGCGCACTTAACCGCTAAGCCACGGGGCCGACACCTTGTTTTTATTCTTGTTTTTGTTTCTGGATATATTTCCTTGCAATCTCTGCTAAGTTCTGGGGGTTCCTAAAAAATTTGCTCAAGACTTCAGAATAACTATTATATGTCCTAACTAGCCACCTCAAAGAGTATTCAAGGTAATATAGGAGGTAAATATATATAAAAATGGGCATCTTAGTTTTATTTTATACATATAATATAGTATATATATGCACACACATATACATAAATGGACATCTTAGTTTTACTTTTGTTTTTAAGAATATTCTAATTTTAATGTTTCCTTACCTGTACTTCCCCAAAGGCTAAATCTTCAGGAGACCTGGGCTCTGAATCCCAGGGATTAGGAGGATTCAGTTCTAGAAGTAAAAGTCCATTTTCTTCATCCACTTCAACAACTAGAACCAAAGGGGAACAAATCTGGATTAACAACAAGAATGACTTTTTTTTTTAAGTGCTTTCTTTCTTTTTTTTTTTTTTTGTGAGGAAGATCAGCCCTGAGCTAACATCCATGCCAATCCTCTGCCTTTTTTTCCCTTTTTCTCCCCAAGGCCCCAGTAGATAGTTGTATGTCATAGTTGCACATCCTTCTAGTTGCTGTATGTGGGACGCAGCCTCAGCATGGCCCGACAAGCGGTGTGTCGGTGCGCGCCCGGGGTTCCGAACCCAGGCCGCCAGTAGCGGAGCTCATGTACTTAACCGCTAAGCCACGGGGCTTGCCCCAAGAATGACTTTTAAAAAGCATCACTGAAATACAAATGCATGAAACAAAAATCAAAGGAAAATCAAAACAAAAGTCACTACTCATTTGTGTCAAGCAATATCTGCTGAGACAAGGTCTTAAACAAAGCCAATTCATTTCTTTATCCGTATTACACGTAAGTAACTCATGAGATCTCAGTCATGTCAGGGACACAGACACACACAAACAACTTCATTAATACAATTAAGTGAGTGATTGATGGAGATGAGTTCAGGTGCTAAGGGAGTATATAGGAAGGAGTGCCTAGTTGTAAGAGTCAAAGCAAATTTCAAATAGAAAGTAATCCTCCAGCTAGACTTGAAAGATGAGGTATTTGGGGCAGACAAAAGAATATGCTGATGTGAAGCAGAAGAGATGAGAGAACAGCATGTACAAAGACATGGGGCATGGGACAGCTTGATATTCACAAGGTGAACTGTAATTTATGACCAAGGAAAATGGTGTTTGAGCCAGGCAAGACAGGCCGGAGTAGGTCACAAAGGACCCTAGATACCATGGTAACGGGGAGTTTGGAACTTATCTTGTGGCAATGAGGTGTCAATGAAAAGTTTTAAGCAATTGTGGCAGACACTGCTGGTAGCCTGCACAAAATCTATTCTCTCCTTCCTCCTTATTATTAGCATCCTAATTTTTTTTTAGGAGTGGTGATATGCCTATCTAAAGATCACGATTTCCCAGACCCCCTTGCAGTTATGAGTGGCCATAGACATACAGTATATATAGTTCTGGCCAGTGACATGTAAGCAGAAGTCTACTGGTGAGACTTCTAGGAACACTTTTATTTTCCTGACAAAGAGGAACAAACTCAAGGGACCTGCACTGTTTGCCCTTTATCTTTCCCCCCTCTTATTTGGAACTTGGTTGCCAAGCCTGGAGGAGTAGGAGCCATCTTGAGACCCTGAGGAAAAGAGCCAGATACTAAGGATGACAGAGCAGGAAGATAGAAGGAACTTGGCTCCTTGATAAGCTGTGGAACAGCCATAGTGCCCAGGACTGCCTGCTTTCCAACTTCTTGTGCTGTAAGAAAAACAACCACCTATATGATCAGGCCACTCTTATTTGGGTTTTCTGTTACAACAGCCAAAAGCAATACCTAACTGCTATAGCAAGGGAGTATTAAAATCAGAACTTAATTTTAGAAAGACCACTGTGAGACACATGGGGAGGACCAATTGGAGGGAGGCAGGACCATATTTGAGAGTTCTCACCATAGTTTTGGGAGGCCATCAGCAAACCTGTCATGGGCATGGGCTCAGGAGACAGATGGCCTTGTTTGGAACTCTCACTCTCCCACTTAATACTTAATAGCTGGGTGACCTCGGGCAAGTTACTTGATTTCTCCATTCTTCTGTATTTTTATCTTTAACCCCAGCTACCTCCAAGGACAGTTAATCCTAATAAATGCCAGCAATTTTATTAATTGCTAAATGAAAGCAAATGAGGTCCTAGACCAAAGCAGTCTCTGTGGAAATGGTTTCACCACCCTGCCCTCAAAGAAAAGCATTTTCCTACTTTCTTCAAAGTATATAAAAAATGTTTTGCCTGCACGTTTTTTTTTTCATTCTTTTTTTTTTATGGTGGTAACATTGGTTTATAACATTGTATAACTTTCAGGTGTACATCATTATATTCTATTTCTGCATAGATTACATCATGTTCACCACCCAAATACTAATTACAATCCATCACTACACTCATGTGCCTGCACTTTTCAAATGAATATTAATTATGCTCACTTTAACACAACTGCTTATGGAAGACACTGAGGTAAAAATTACCCATAAAATGAAAAATGGTGCGTTTTAGAATTTTCCCCAGTAGTTGTGAACAAAGATTTACATATTCTGTCAAACTTCAATTTTCAAGGTCATTGTGAGGGATTATACTAAAGAAAAAGTTGAAAACTTAAAGAATTACCTCCCCCAAAGTCTGTTTTTCTCTATCACTTCCCTGGCCTCACCCTCATGACTGTGTACTTAGATTCTCCCTCTCTGCCCCTGGCAAATTGATGACTCATTTAGACAGTGTCCCTGGAAAGCTCTCCCTGGTATTAGCACTACCGGCTCACTGGCTTCACTGGGGACTCAGATGTCACCTTATCACAGAGGGCTTTCTGACCACTCTATCTCAAAGAGCACTCTCTAGCCCACAACAGTCCTATCCCTCTCCAGCCCTCCACCCCTCAATATTTTTCTTCCTTGTCCTTATCATCACTGGACATATTATATGTCGTTTGCTTATGGTCTGTCTCCCCTACAAGATATAAGCTCCAGAAAGGCTGCACATCCTCCTCTCTCAGCCTAGGCCCTGCTCCTGCCCAGACCTGGTACATTAAGTTGGGAAATTTAAATATAGGATTATCTCAATATAAGCTAAAAATAACATTTATTTCTTAATTTTTATAATTTTATTTATTTGTTTTTTTCCCCCAAAGCCCCAGTAGATAGTTGTATGTCATAGCTGCACATCCTTCTAGTTGCTGTATGTGGGACGTGGCCTCAGCATGGCCGGAGAAGCGGTGCGTCGGTGCGCGCCCGGGATCCGAACCCAGGCTGCCAGCAGTGGAGCGCATGCACTCAACCGCTAAGCCATGGGGCCGGCCCTATTTCTTAATTTTTAAAAGAGCGCTTTAAAAACTAGAAACATGATTGCAGCAGATAGCTTCCATTGGACCCTACAGACCCACTCTTTTCTACCTCTCTCCACTCTTGTTCACCTGCTCTCTGCTTCAGAGGTTGACTCATACGGACCACATCAAAGGGTTCTCACATCTGCTGCCTTCTAGGTGAGTTTGGTCAGTGTGAAGCCCCAGGGTGAGATGATGAGACAATTCAGTGAGGTTGGGTTGTATATTCCTCTGCCTCTTTCCTCCTAAGGTCGCTTTAACCTAGACTGTGTTCTGGGCACTGACAGAAGTCACAGCTCATCTCATGGAGGCCTGTTCTTTACGACTCTCTTTCAGATTCTGGAAACTGCTTCCCTCCTCATCCCTTTGGGCCAAAAGATGGATAATTTGGTTGCTATTAACTCCAGGTTACTCCACCTGCCCCTGTGATGCTCCTACATCCACATCTTATAAAAAGTCCTTTTGTGAACACATCCTCCTCAAATTATCCTTATTTAGGATGCCATCTGCTTTCCTTTTGTGCATCTAACTAACGAAATAACTAAGAATAGCTATCTTGAAACCCCAAATTCAGAAGCATGATTATCTGTGGGGGATTACCTCTGGGGAGATATGTGATGTGATCAAGGAAAGTGACAAAAGATCTTCCCTTGTTAGTGTTTTATGTCTTAATTTGAGTGCTGGTACATGGGTTTTCACTCTATTGTTTTTTATACACTTTAAATATTGCTTAAGAATTTAATAAGAACAATATTTTTCTTAGTAATAGTTATTGAATAGTGAAACACAAATGGCTTCCTTAATAAAATCAGGAACACACAAAGAATGCTTGATATCACCATTATTATTTAACTATGTTCTTGAAAATGCAGCGGTATAATAAAGAGCCACATTATTATTATTTCCAGGTTATGTGATTGCTAGAAGACAGTGTCATGAGATAGAAGGAATGCTGATTTTGGAAAGATCTGGGTTGGAATCCTGACTCTGCTGCTTATTAGCATTATCCTGAGCTTCAGTTTCCTGATTTGCAAAATAAGATCATGATACACACGCTTCATAGAGTTGTTGTGGGATTCAATGAGATGATAGATCCTCAAGTGTCTAGCACTATGCCTGGTACAGAGAGGGCATTTATTAAATAATGGTATTATTTAGATAATTATTTTACCTTCAAGGAATGAATAGAGTTAAAAAGAAAGCTCGGTATTAGACAAACGAATCTATGGACTAGCAAATACTAGTTAGAAAACATAATGCTATTATGAGACTCAGAAAACTCCTGCACTGGTACCCACTCTTAAGGATTTTCCTTTGTCAGAATTTTTATCTGTCAAGAAAAGCAGAAGAAAGTAAGAATCTATATCTCTTGACTATTGTTCCAAAGCAAGTACTATAAAGGTCTTTATGCCCCTTGCACAAAGATAAATTGCACAGATGCAGAAGAAGAACGTAACATCTGCCAAGTCCCTGCATCTATAAAGTAGTGAGAACGTAGTATACTTATTTTGACCTCACATGCTGAAAAAGGTCATTTGGGTTATAACAGTATCTATCCAGAAGAACAAACAAATGGAATTCCTTAAAACCTTTTGATAAGGAAGAATAATGACAAAGAATTAGAACAAAAACATATTAGAAAACTATAATAGGGCCAGCCCTGTGGCTTAGCGGTTAAGTGCATGCGCTCCGCTGCTGGCGGCCCAGGTTCAGAACCCTGGGCGTGCACTGACGCACCGCTTCTCTGGCCATGCTGAGGCCACGTCCCACGTACAGCAACTAGAAGGATGTGCAGCTATGACATACAACTATCTACCGGGGCTTTGGGGGAAAAATAAATAAATAAAATTATTAAAAAAAAAAAGAAAACTATAATAATTAAATTCTTGGGGGGGCCAGCCCCGTGGCTTAGCGGTTAAGTGCACACGCTCCGCTACTGGCGGCCTGAGTTCAGATCCCAGGCGCGCACCGACGCACTGCTTCTCCGGCCATGCTGAGGCCACGTCCCA